CCTGGACCCGGCGGATTAAACTCATGCTGGGCGCGAGTGCGTGTTTGCCCAAGACCCCGAGAGGAGAATAGAGGAAAAGGGATTGGGGTGTGGCCATCCTTCATGGGGGTAGGGGGGTGATTTATCGCTTTCTGGAGATCGCACGTGCCCTATAGCAAAAACCTCTCCCCCAAAAAATTAACCATATGACAGTGAGCCATTCAGTGACAGTACATTCGTGACATTGTGCAACCACCACCTCTATGTAGTTTCAAAATGTATTTATCCCCCCAAAACAAAATCCTACACTCATACTTATTAAGCAGTTGCTCCCCATTCCACCTTCTTCCTTGTCCCTGGCAATTACCAATCTGTTCTATGGATTTACCGACTCTAGACCTGTCACCTAAATGGACTCATACAGTACGGGGACTTTTGTGTCTGGTTTCTTCATGTAGGCCGACCCGTGTGTTCGCGTGTTTCAGAGCTTCATGCCTTTTTATGGCTGAGTAGCATTCTGTTGGATAAGTAGAGCACATTTTGTCTACTCCTCCACCAGTGGACATTTGGGCCCTGTCCACCTTCTGGCTGTCATGAGTGGAGCTCCTGTGAACATGCATGTCCGAGTCTTTGAGAATCCACTTTCAGTTTGGGGTCTATGCCTAGGAGTGGAATTGTTGCACCCAGGATGCTTGTTTAAGGAAAGAATAAGAGTAAGGACTGAAAGTTGTGGCTGGGGCTGGGAGGCAAGGGGAATCAAGAAGGTAGGTCACTCTTCCTCCTGATGCTGTGTGAACATCTAGAGGAAACACAAGTTGAAGCTGCACCTTTAAGCAAAACTTGGGGCTCCTCCTATCTGCCACTCTGGGGCCTGTTCCAACTGTAGCATCTTTAACTTCTGTCCGTCTCAAAAAGGCAAATTCAGGGGCCCAGTGGTGGTGGCAGAAGTAATGCAAAGGACCCACATGGGAAAGGGCCTGGCTTCATGTCCAGGGTCTCCCTGTACAGGCGGGGCTTATACACATGCCCGTGATGGAGGCCCGCCGAGACTGGGGCTGGATTCTGGCATGCTGACCCTGCTGGGGCACTGTTTCTGCCTTTCTCTTTAATGGAAGAAAGAAAGAAATTTGTTTTTCTTAAAAATCAAAACTAAAAAATAAAGGTGGGGAAAATACACCTGCCAACGACAGAGATTTGCAGTCTGTAGAGAATTAGAGGAATGTGCCCGAGGGGGCTCTGAAGGCAGTTCCTAGAGAGGAGCCCCAGGAATGTGGGTAGCTAAGGCTGCTCTGATGGAATCCTTGTGTGACCTCTTGTGGGGGGCTGGGGCAGCAGTTATTCGGTGCTTAATGTTTGGGCATGCTTGAGTCAGGCAGGCACTCTATAGCCTCGCCTGCCTCCCTCCCTCTCTCCCTCCATAGATTTACCAAGTTCTTACCATGTGCCAGGCCCTGGGCTGAGGTATAGGGAGACCATGGTGAACCAGACAGACATGGACCCTGCCTTTTTTTTTACGCTCCTTATTCCTTTAACTTATGCTCTCATTCCTGTATCTCCCATGACACTGACACAGTGCTAGGCACAGAATGAATACCTACCTAATAAATGCTCTGGAAAAACTACTTCCAGCTCCCAAGTGGCACAGGAGAGCATGTGAGCTGGAAGCGTGTGACCCTCGAGTTTGTTCACAGAATGCACAAAAGAGCTAATATCCATGAGTAAAGATTTCCCGCTCTGGCAGCTTAGCCATTGTGCTTTTTTTTTTTTTTTTAAGAATTTTTTTATTTAACTTTGTTTATTTATTTTCATTCAACCGGAGAGGGACAGAGTAAGAGAGAGAAAGAAAGAGGGAAAGTGAGAAAGCAAGCTGCCAGGTCTGGGACTCGAACCATGGCCAGCCATGTGGGAGTCCAGTGCCCTTAACCACCACACTACCTGCTGGTCTCACTTTATTTTTTTTTTTTTAAGAATTGTTTTTGAACCACGGTTGGCCATGTGGGAGTCCACCACACCACCTGCCGGCCCCCAGCCATTACCTTTTAAAAACATATATTTAGGGCCAGCTGATGGCATGGAGGTTAAGGTGGCTGGATCCCACAGGGCAGACTGTGTGGTTCAAGTCCCAGACCCAGTGGCTTGAAATACATGCAGGCTATTTGTGTGTATGTGTGTGCGCAAAATCCCAGGAGGAGAATAGAGGAGAAGGGACTGTGGCGTGACCATCCTCCAGGGGGTGATTTGTCACCCTCATTCTCTCTGTCTCTGCCTGCCAAGTGCATACACCCTATGGCAAAAATAAGTGTATTTCTATCTTCCATGAGTGAGATAGAGACAGAAAGCAAGAGAGCCAGGCATCTCCAACAGGGCCTTCAGGCAGTGATTCACCCCCCAGCCTGGGTCATGGACACACGCATGCCTGCTGTGCACAGAGAGACTCTGGGATCTGAACTTAGGCCCTTCCCATGTGGCTCCAGCACTGTGGACTTTCATTACTGCTTTGCCAGCATAGCTGCCCCCAGCCATCACTTCAAAAGCTCCTCTCTGGCTGCCTTTTCCTACCAGGGAAAGCCCTTTATTCCCTAGGCATTTTCTTTAAAAAAAAAAAAAAAAAGAGG